CTTTCTGTAATTTCTTTGTATGCAAAACAGTATTTAACAGGGGCAGCTTCCGTTCTGCCCGCAAGTCAGGAAGTGTTTGGGGGGTCTTCGTGAGCACTCACTGCGCAGCAGGCGGGGGAAGAAGGAGTGCAGCCGTCCTCGTTGCAGTCCTAAACGCGAAATCTCGATCAGGACCGACAGAAGGAAACAAATAGCAGTATGGTACTTACACAGGTGGAGGGGAAGCATTTCTTCGAATTCTCGAGGGAGGCACTGGCGACCACAGTCGCAAAGAGAGCAACGATGAAGAAGTTCAGAGAGAAACGCATTTTGAGAGAAGTTGGTGGGTGAAAGTGTTCAAAGCTTCGAGCCTGAGGAATACGACGCTTGAATGTTAGGCCTTTTATACAGTTTCTGGCCGTTACGTACCCGCTCGCAGGATCCCCTTAAGACGTTGTCAAGCGCTTTAACGACACTGTGTCAACCCTGGGTAGCCCTGGATACATCAAGACGTCGTGCGGGACAACATAATTTAGGTATGTCAATAGCGCACCGGGGGCACCAATCACTTGGGCGAGTCTCTTAGATGAGGAGTTGACAAACTCGGAAATCTTATCGATGCTATGAAGAGCTGAGGGACTGAGTACCAGCTTGCTCCACATTTTTTTCTCGGATGGGCCACAGCGTGGTCGTTGGCAGCGCCTACGATACTGATCAGCCAAGTTGCCAAGATCCGAAGAGAAGAGGTTCTTCTCCCTTGGGTTCTCCCGCAGACGCATTCCCGTCTTACCCATGGGCCCCGATGAGCTAGGGTCCGCGTGTGACACGGATAAGTGTTGTTGCTGTAAGTGTAACCAATTCAGAAATTCAATGATCCATTACATGTGTATGTAGTAGCAACGTGCATCTGGGCAAGCCGTTATTGATTTTCGACCAACGTTTGGAGTTGTACTTGCCATTAATATTATTGGCCGGTGGGTTATTTATGTTGAGGTGGAGTACTTCGGAAGGATCTTTGATGACCATCGGGCAGCGGCGACCAGCCTGAGTGGCGGACTTGAAGGATAGAAAAGGGGGATCGCGGGAGAGCACAGACCACGAGTGCGTCGGTAGGGGACATGATGCGTTGGCGCCGCATGATGTATTGAAGCAAGCCGTAAAGCCAAGCCCAGTGCGAATTCAACACACTTTTTTTCACCCACGAAAGCTATTACATTGATAGGTCGGTCAAAGCGTAGAATCTCAACAATGGAGCCATAGTCTGGAGAAATTGCGCCATGGCTGTTTGCCGAGGAACGAAATTGGAACGAGTCTCGAGATCTGGGAAAGAATAGAACTCAAAACCGCCGGCGGCAGTCCCGATTTGGTTTTTGATGCGATCTTCTTTGTTCAACCGTTGTCTTTTTCCGTTCCTTCTCTTCCGTCGGGACTCGGAAGTGCGCAAGCTTAAGTACTCACGTACCGGTTGTCGTGTAGGTATTTAATGCTTAATGCGGCACAAATTTCCCGCAGAATTTCAGCTATACGCGACTCCGCAGTCGGTCGGTCGCTTCTTGATCAAACGAAGAAGACCGAGGTAGCACGCCTATGTAAATCAACAGTACATAATACCGGGTCGGTCGCACCAGCCCTCGCTGCTGTTTTATCGCGCATATAATAAAACAGTCCAAGGAAGGCCTGAGTTGGGCGCAGGAGTCAGAAAGTTTACTCGGGGCCCCCTGGGTCTCGTTGCATCCTGCGCTCAGTGCAATCTTTTCTTTCTTTGTCTCTCAGGGCACCAAATCTCCATGAGTTGATCTAGAGTATGGGCGTCTCCAAAAAAAAGAGTATGGGCGGCTGTCCGCGCGCGCCATCGGCCAACTTCGTCAACAGCACGGCTGATTATAGTCCCAAATCCGGAAATACAGGTTCAAATTGATTTCGGCCGGATGGCTGGAAAATTCCCATCAAGCCCGCCCGACGGAGGCAGTGCTTATTCGTCGGGCCCGGACTCGGAGTCCCTGCTCGACTCCTCGAGAACGCGCTCAACTGCAACTTCAAGTTGCACGGCAGGAAAATCATCGCCTCGGCGGCTGGACTAAAGCCAGACTTTTGACTTTGATTCGAACGTTGGTTGTGAATCTGTCGGTCTGGAAGATAATATAGTCAAGTAGTATAAAACCACATTGCGAGAGTGAAGACAGTCTGTAGTTTTCCCTATATAATTCTCGGCCCAGGATTCACTGAGTTCTGCTGTGTCAAGGTAACCGGCCCAACGATGCGAGAATGGATACTGTAGGGACCCGCTCTAGATTGTAGACACCACATACCTCCCTCCATACCTACCTTAAAATAGAAGGCGGATAATGGAAAGCTCCAAGCGAGCGAACGGGTCATCCTGAATGTACGAACAGGCGATTTACGGCGGCGATGACAATAGGTTGAAAATGGACGAAGCGAAGCCGTCGGAGTCGCGCTGTATAAGCATCTCAGACAGTCGGAATTCGATAAGGATCCGCGCCAGATTAAAGAGGCTCGTAACGGAGGGGGGTGGGTAATGGAGAGCTCCGAGTTCAATTGCTATCACCGGAAATCGGGCCGAACAGAAGGATGCCGAACGTTTACGAAGCGGGGTTGTTGAAATGGGCCGCGGAGAGCGAATCCGAATCTGAATGCACTGGGCCTGGTTGGCAGGAGACAAGAGGATGAAGAAAGTAGAACCAAAAAGCTACCGTGATGATCCAGCCATGCTTCCGGTGGGAATTGAACCCAAATCTCCTGAAGAGACATCCAGTGAACTCGCGAGTTATTATTTTCAGGTGGTCTGCCTTGACTTACAGAGGCATTGTCAAGTATTTTTGGGACTGCATATTGAGGCAATGTAAGGAGTCGGACCAGCAGCGCATGAGGTCCACTAGGTCCGGAGAACGGAGCGAAGGACGAATTCTTCGAATCAGATTCAAATATTAATATTCCACCTCTTTGGGTGTTGAGGCGACGTTCCCGGGAGATGGGCGTGAACGTGTTGGTTTCGAGTCTGAATCCGCATTGTGCGTGTTCGATGTCGATTTTGATGGGCAGCGGAGCAGAAGCATGCACCGAGGATGAGGGAGGGACTCAGTTGTTTCAATCTACAATGCTTGCGTTTCCGAGGCTTTTTTGGTGTTGGAATTGGTATTGGTTAGAAAAAGAAAAGAGGACATACTGCAGTACTGGCAGACCTCAGGCCTCCGGTGGGAGTTGGATGTTGAACCCACGTCTCCTGAAGAAACATTCAGTACCACTCCGCGAATCTTTTTCAAGCGGTCTGCCGTGACCTACGGAGGCATTGTAGAGTGTCTTTGGAGACATATGATGAGGCGATCGGGTGCGGATGCGAAACTGAGATAGTCGGAGGTGGATTGGGTTTCGGACTCGGAGGGGTGCGAGTAGGGAGAGATCCGAGCTCAATTGACTTGCAGCCGCAATCGGGAAAGTTGGACAGTCAGTACGTAGATGGCGTCTGGAGAAATTGTGTGGTCGAGTATTAGCGCGTGGACGAACCTAAGGGCTGTATTCGCATCGGGCATGGTGTAGAAACAACGGGTTGAGTGCGTACATGAGGGATATAATTTTTTCTCGGTGAATAATGGGAATGCAGGAACGAGGTGAAGGAAGCACTGTAGAACCAAAAGCTTACAACGACTCCGCTATGCCTCCGGTGGGAATCCAACCCACATCTCCTGAAGAAGCAACGAGTCAAATTGATCACTCTCAAGCGGTCTGCTGTGACCTACAGAGCCGTTGTAAAGGGCCTTTGGGACGTAGGCCATGATGAGGTGATCCAGTGCGGACGCGAGCACATCAGACAGTCGGATTAAATTTTGAATTTTGGAGGTGGGTATGGAGAGATTCGAGTTCAGTTGCCGCCAGAATTGGGTGAAGCGGAAGGGCGGTTGGACAGGCGGGATGTATGTATGTAGATGGCGTCTCGAGAAATTGCGTGGTCAAATATTAGCTCGGCCCGGCGAGCCGGCCGAGGGTTGCATCATTCACGTCGGGTGTGGTGCAGAAACAATGAGTCGAGAGCACGCGTGGGGATACAAAAAATTCTCCGTGAATGGCAGAAATGCAGGAAAAAGCTAAAGGAAGTAGGAACCAAAAAATAGCAATTGCCCGGCTTCAGTACGCCTCCGGCGGGAGTCGAACCCACTTCTCCTGAAGAAGCATTTGTACATATTCCCCAATATTTTCAGGTGGTCTGCCATGACCTACGGAGGCGTTGTTGAGCTCCCTTGGGGACGTGTAATGAGGGGATCTGAAGCCAGAGAGCTGGAATGAATTTTGGAGGCGGAGGGCGGGTCCGGGTATGGAGAGCTCCGAGATCAATTGACTTGCCGCCGGAATCGGGTGAAGCGGAGGGGTGACAGGCGGGATGTATGTAGATGGTGTTTGGAGAAATAGCGTGGTCGAATATTACCTCGGCCGAGCCTGAGGGCTGCATTCGCGCTGGGTGTGGTGCAGAAACGATGAGTTGAGTGCACGCTAGGGATATAAAATTTTATTGGTGAACGGCGGAATGCAGGAAACAAGCTGAAGTTGATGGAAGTAGAACCAAAATGTTCGTTTGACCCAGCCATGCCTCCGGTGGGAGTCGAACCCACATCTCCTGAGGACATGATGCCAAAGTTATATCAATGTCAGGCGGTCTGCGTTGACCCACGGAGGCGTTGCCAACTTGTAGACCATCTTTGGGACTATGTAATGAGGTGATTCGGCTCGGTGCCGATGCGAAGCCGGAGAACAGTCGGATTGAATTTTGGAGGCGGGTCCGAGTTCCGAGTCCGGGTGTGGAGAGTTCTGGGTTCTGTTGACCTGCCGCCGCAATCGGGGATGTTGGACAGTCGAGACATAGATGGCGGTCATTCGTGTCGGTTCAAAAATGATGGGTTGAGTGCGCCCATGAGGGATATATAATTTTCTCGGTGAATGGCGGAATGCAGGAACAAGTTCAGTTTAAGGAAGTAGCGCGTAGGAACCAAAAGCTTACAACGACTCGGCTATGCCTCCGGTGGGAGTTGAACCCGCGTCTCCTGAAGAAACATGTCCTGGTTGCAACCAATATTTTTCGGGTGGTCTGCCATGACCTACAGAGGCATTATAGAGTGCCCTTGGGAACGTATCATGAGGGGATCTGAATCTGTGCTTACGAGGTGGTTTCAGTGCTTCAATAGTGTTGTTGAAATAAAACTGCATGCAGGCCGCGGAGAGCGGGTCCGGATACACTGCCAGTGGCCGGCAGGAAACAGGTTGAATATGAAAGTAGAAGGAAAAAGATGGTATAACACTGCCATTCAAGGCCTCCGGCGGGAGTCGAACCCACGTCTCCTAAAGACATGTTCTGCGCACAGATTGTAATATTTTCAGATGGCATTGTGAAGCACCTTTGAGCCCTTATAATGAGGCCATCTGGTGCGGGCGTGAAACTGAGACAGTCGGACGCGGATTGATTTTTTGGAGGCGGGTCCGGGTATGGAGAGCTCCGAGTTTCATTGATTTGACTTGCCGCCGGAATCGGGGAAGTTGGACAGTCGAAATGTAGATGGCGGTCATTCGCGTCGGTTCAAAAACGATGGGTTGAGTGCGCCTATGAGGGATATAGAATTTTCTCGGTGAATGGCGGAATGCAGGAACAAGTTGAAAAAAAAGTAGAAGGAAAAAGCATCACCTGGGCGAGATCTCATGCCTCCGGTGGGAGTCGAACCCACGTCTCCTGAAGAAAGAGATAGAAAACTCACGGTTCTCAGGCGGTCTGCCGTGACCTACGGAAGCATTGTGGACACTCTTTGGGACTGTGTAATGAGGGGATCTGAAGGCAGAGAGCACCTCAGCTCAGACAGTCGGATTAAAATTCGGAGGCGGTTCCGGGTATAGAGAGCTCCGAGTTTGATTAACCTGCCGCCGGAATCGGGGATGTTGGACAATCGAGACGTAGATGGGATGTGGAGAAATTGCGGGGTCGAATATTACATAGCTCGGCCGAGGGCTTCATTCACGTCGGGTGTGGTACAGAAATGATGGGGTGAATGCGCGCGTGAGGGATCTAAAATTTTCTCCGTGAATGGCGGAAATGCAGGAACAAGTTGAGTTGAAGGAAGAAGGGACCAAAAATTATGGAGGGAGTCTATTCATGCCTCCGGTGGAACTCGAACCCACATTTCCTGAGGAAACAACATTGAAGTTAGATCGACGTCAGGCGGTCTGCGTTGACCTACAGAGGTGTTGTATAGGGTCTTTGGGACTGTTCAATGAGGGGATCTGAATCTTTGTTTGCGAGGCCCCGGGTTCATTAGCATGAAAAAACATGGGGTAGGATCCGTGACGGCGGGACGCAGAGAGCGAATCTGAACGCACTGGCTGGCAGGAACCAAGAGGCTGAAAAAAGTAAGTAGAGCCAAAAAGTATTGAACATCTGATACCACACATGCCTCCGCCGGGAGTCGAACCCACGTTTCCTGAAGGAATACTTATGCCTTTTCCACAATTTTCAGGTGGTCTGTCATGACCTACAGAGGCATTGCAGAGTGCCTTTGGAACTGCGTAATGTGAGGCGATCGGGTGCGGACGCGAAGCGGGCCGCGGAGAGTACCTTGGACAGTTGGAATGAATATTGGAGACGGATCCGGGTATGGAGAGTTCCGAGATCAATTGACGCCGGAGTCGGGTGAAGCGTAAGGGCAGTGTTGGACAGGCGGGATGTATGTGGATGGCGTGTGGAGAAATTGGGTGGTCGGATTAGCATGGGCGAGGGATCCATTTGCGCCGAGAAACGATGGGCTGAGTGCCGCGACAACAAACATGTTTATCGATGGGCGGCGCTTACGAGGCTGCCGTTTGGTGTTTGAAGTAAACCGGCCCACCGACGGAACGGCGGAATGCAGGAACGAGTTGAAGGAGGTTGAAGCAAAAAGGTTGTTTCCGATATGATCATGCCTCCGGTGGGAGTCGAACCCACATCTCCTGAAGAAATATCTGTTCGCTTTCAAATTCACAGTATTTTCAGGCGGTCTGCCCCGACCTACAAAGGCGTTGTAGATTGCTTTTGCGACCTCAAGTTGTAATGAGGTGATCCGGTGCGAACGCGAAACTGAGACAGTCGAATTTAATTTGAATTTTTTGGAGGCGGTCCGGGTATAATGAGGGCCGAGGTCAATTATTTTGACTTTAATTGCCGCCGGAATCGGGGAACTTGGACAATCGAGATGTAGATGGCATGTGAAGAAATTCCGTATAAGCGCGTCCGAGGGCTGCATTCGCACGGGGTGTGGTACCGGGATGCGTTGAGTGCACGCACGAGAGATATAATTTTTTCCCGGTGAATGACGGAATGCAGGAATAAGTTGAAGGAAGTAGAACCAAAAAGTTATGACAGTCCACCATGCCTCTGATGGGAGTCGAACCCATGTCTCCTGAAGAAACATGTGCTGGTTGCCAACAATATTTTCAGGTGGTCTGCCGTGACCTACAGAGGCATTGTGGAGTGTCCTTGGGAACGTATCATGAGGGAATCTGAATCCGCATTTACGAGGCGCGGTTGTTGAAATGGAACATGGTGACAGAGAGCGAATCCGAATAGCCAGTGGCTGGCAGGAAAAAGCTGAATCTGAAAGTAGAAAGAAAAAGATACTGAGCCACTACCTTTTTAGGGCCTCCGGTGGGAGTTGAACCCACGTTTCCTGAAGAAACATTTGAGACCCCATAATATTTTCAGGCGGTCTGCCATGACCTACAGAGGCGTTGTAGTGTCACTTTGGGGACGTGTAATGAGGGGATCTGAAGCCAGAGAGCAGTTGGAATGAATATTGGAGGCGGGTCCGAGTATGGAGCTACGAGTTTAATTGACTTGCCGCTGGAATCGGGTGAAGCGGAACAGGCAAGATGTATGTAGATGGCATCTGGAAAATTTGGATGGTCGGATTAGCGCGGCCGAGGGATGCATTCGCGCTGAGAAACGATGGGGAGAGTGCCGCGACAATAAACATGTTTATTGGTGGGCGGCGTTTACGAGGCTGCGGTTTGGTGTTTGAAGTAAACCTGTCCGCCGACGGAACGGCGGAATGCAGGAACGAGTTGAAGGAAGTTGAAGCAAAAAGCTGCTGTTATGATCATGCCTCTGGCAGGAGTCGAACCCACGTCTCCTAAAGAAACATTTACATGACAACACTACACGAATCTTTTTCAGGCGGTCTGCCGTGACCTACAGAGGCGTTGTAGAGTCTCTTTGGGGACGTGTAATGAGGGGATCTGCGGACGCGGAGAGTACCTTGGACAGTTGGAATGATTTTTTTGGAGACGGAAGGCTGGTCCGGGTATGGAAAGCTCCGAGATCAATTAACTTGCCGCCGGAATCGGGTGAAGCGGAGGGGTGACAGGCGGGATGTATGTAGATGGCGTGTGGAGAACTGGGTGGTCGAATATTACATAGCACGGCCGAAGGATGCATTCGCGCTGAGAAACGAGGGGTGAGTGCCGCGACAATAAACATTTTCATCGGTGGACGGCGGTTACGAGGTTGCAGTTTGGTATTTGAAGTAAATTTGCCTGCTGACGGAACGGCGGCATGCAGGAAACAAGTTGTTGAAGGAAGTAGGAACCAAAAAAAACGCGATTGACGCGCCATGCCTCCGGTGGGACTCGAACCCACATCTCCTGAAGAAATATCTGTACTCCTTCAAATTCCATAATATTTTCAGGCGGTCTGCCATGACCTACAGAGGCGTTGTAGTGTCACTTTGGGGACGTGTAATGAGGGGATCTGCGGACGCGGAGAGTACCTTGGACAGTTGGAATTAATTTTGGAGACGGAGGGCGGGTCCGGGTATGGAGAGTTACGAGTTTGATTGGCTTGCCGCCGGAGTCGGGTGAAGCGGAGGGGTGACAGGCGGGAGGATGTATGTAGATGGCGTGTGGAGAAAATGGGTGGTCGGATTAGCGCAGCCGAGTTTGGTACGCATTGCTGGAGAAACGATGATTCGAGTGCGCGTGTGGGGGATATAAATTTTACCGGCGATTGGCGGAATGCAGGAACAAGTTGGAGGAAATAGGAACCGAAAAGTGAGATGATAACCCAGGCATGCCTCCGGTGGGACTCGAACCCACGCCTCCTGAAGAAATATATATGCCTTTTTCAAAATATTTTCAGGCGGTCTGCCATGACCTACAGAGGCGTTGTAGAGTTCCTTTGGGGACGTGTAATGAGGGGATCTGGTTCGGACGCAAAACTGAGATAGTCGGATTGAATTTGAATTTTGAAGGCGGGTCCGGGTATGGAGAGCTCCGAGATCGATTGACTTGCCGCCGGAATCGGGTGAAGCGGAAGGGAAGTGTTGGACAGTCGAAATGTCTAGAGAAATTGCGTGTGGAAAAAGTGGGCGGTCGGATTAGCGCGGCCGAGGGATGCATTAGGAACGATGGGTGAGTGCCACGACAATAAATATTTTTGGGCCCCGCTTACGAGGCTGCGGTTTGGTAAATGTTCCCGCCGACGGAACGGCGGAATGGAGGAAGGAGGTTGAAGCAAAAAGTTGAAAGATCTGATCTGGTCATGCCTCCGGTGGGAGTTGAACCCACATCTCCCGAAGAACAAGCATGTACTCAGCGATTCACACTATTCAGATGATCTGCCTTGATCCACGGAGGCGGTGGGGTGTTATGAGGGTAACGCCGTAGAGCGGAACGGAGCGGAGCCGTCTGAGGCGGGCAATGGAGAGCTCCGACGTCGAACGTTTTGTGATGTTGTGGATCCGGTGAAGCACGTGAAAGAGAATCACCTATTTACACCACTCCTTCCTCCTAACTTCTCTCCTTTCCCTTGACCTCTACATGGAGGACATTCGACGGCCAATGCGGCGTCGGAGGATGTCGGCGCCGCCTCCCCGCCCGCTGCCCGCCCGCCTCCCTCCGTGCCGGCCCCTCCCGCTCTCCCTGGAGGCGCTAGACCTCTCGCCGGCGTCGCCCGCGCAGGCCCTCGCCTCGCTGCGATTCCTCGTGCTGTCGTACCTCGCGGACCTGGAGCGTAGACTGTCCCTGTTCGAGTCGGCCGAATGGGCCGAGGCAGCGCTGGACATGCTGCATGGGATCCGCGCGGACGTCCGGTCGCACCTGCCCGACCTCGGTGCCCATCTGCCCGACATGGACCTGAAGTCGCATCTGCCGGACATGGACTTTATAGCGCATCTGCCGGACATGGACCTGAAATCGCTGATGCAGCGCTGGGCAGAGCTCGACTTTTCGCGGCCCCTGTCCTATGTGCCCACCCTGTCTGCCCGCCTCAGCACGCTCCGCGCAGAGCTCGCCGCACGCCGTCCCTCCTTCGAGTTTGACTTTGACTTTGACTTTCCTACGCCGTCCTTTGACTTTGACTACCACTCCTACTTTGCCCGCCCCAGCTTCCCCTTCTCCCCGCCCGCCCGCCTCGCGTCCTTCCTGACAGAGCTCGACGCCTTCCTCGCCGAGCTCCCGCGTCTCCCCTCCCTCGCCCTCTCCCTCCCCGACCTCCCCTCCCTCTCCCCCTGCTCCGCCCTCCCCAGCCCCTTCCCTTCCCCGGAGCACAACGAAGAAGAGGCCGTCGCCCGCGCACTCCAGCTCTCCGCACACGGCGCCCGCCTCATCACGTACGCAGACCTCCCCCCCGCGTGGCAGAACAACGCCTTTGTCCGCAAGGGCTACCGCTTCGTGCCCCTCCGCCGCTGGTACGCCCTCGTCGGCTCCGTGTTCCGCCTCCACAACGAGACTCGTGCGTGCCCGTCTTTGTCTCTCTGCGTGTGCTGATATTGGCTGCTTCAAGTGAACATCCACACGCACCTCATCCCCCTCGTCCTCTGGGGTGCTGCCCTCGCGGGCGCCGTCTGGCCCACCCCGCTCGTGCTCCTGCACCGCCTCTTGTCGACGCCCGCGCTCGCCGCTTTTGCGCCATTTGCGTCTGCGGCGGGCGCACTCCTCGGGTGGCTCCCCTCTCCCCCGGAGCGGCTCACGCGCGACGCGGCGCGGTACACGCCCTTTTCTCCCCCTTCCTCGCCCTACTCCCCCACCCCACCCCCAGACGGCACGGAAACCCTCTTCACGCTCTTCGCGCTCGCCTGCCTCGCGAGCAGCGCGCTGTGGCACACCATGGCGGGCTGCGCCGGCCGCCGCGCGATGGAGGCGTGTGCGAGGGTGGATTATGTCGGGATTGGGTGGTGCGTATTTCTTTGCCTTTTTCGCTCTCGTCGATATCGTTTTCAAGCGCTAACCTAATCCCCCGAAACGCAGGCTCATCGCCACCTCCATCGCGACGGTCGTGCACCACGGGTACGCGTGCGCGGAGGCCGCGGCGGAGGCGACGCCCCTCGGGCACGCGGTGTTGCATCCGTCTACTTTGTTGCAGAGCGGCGGCGTGCTCGAGGCGGCGGGGGGGCTGTTGCAGCATACGTCGGAGTTGCTGCATGTGCATTCGCATTCGCATTCCGGCGGCGGGGAGGTGGCGGGTGGGTCGTCGGCGTCCGCGTTCCTCTCTCCGCTCCTCGCCCTCTTCACCCCCCTCACCGCCTTCTCAGCAACGATCAAGACCCTCCTCGCCCCGCTCACAACCGCGCTCCGCTCCCCGCTCGAAACCGCCGCGTACCACCCCCTCGGCAGTGCGTGTCTCCTCTTGTGTTTGGCGTGCGGCGTCTCGGGGAACGTGCTCCCGTATTGCGCGTGGTTTAATAGGGTGGAGAATCGGGTAAGTGCTTTTTTTTTTTGCCTCCCCTCCTCGTATATCCCGCTCCACGCCCCCTTGGCGCACTTCCACGCGCATCACCTCGCTCCGCGGAGGCGAAGAGACGAGTCGCGCTTTTCCCACTCTCCCCTTCCTCTCCCCTTCCTCGCTCCCTCCCATTCGCTCCCCAATGAAAAAAAATTGCTAACGCACACCGCAGCTCTGGCGCCTCGGGTTCTTCGTCGGCATCTCGTTCTCGGCGCTCGCGCCCCTCGCGGGGATCGCGGCGCTGCAGGGGTGGGGCGCGATGGTCCGGTTTGTCGGTGAGTGTTATTTGTTTTTTTTAAATTAATTTTATTATCTCGACTCGCGGCGCTCCGGTCCCTGCCTGGGTCTTTCGCCTCACTCTCCTTTTTCTTCTGTTTCGGCATGGCCTTGCCCTGCGAGCTCGTCCAATCTGCCTCGCGCATTATCTTCTTCCATACTCCTTCCTTACCCTCCATGTATTCCCTTCGTCCGATTGGTCCAACCCACTCTCCCTCCCTTTCCCCTCATCTTCTCCCCCTTCTTCAAACCAAGACTAACACCTCGACAGCGCCCGTCGGGCCCTCGCTCCTCTTCTACATCGTCGGGATCGTCATCTATGCTACGCAGGTGCCGGAGCGGTGGATTGGTGGGGGGGCGCGCGGCGGCGGAGGGGATGAAGGAGGAAGTGGGGGTGGGTGGCGGGCGAAGCTGGGGACGGTGGTGGATTATTGTGGGGGTGGTGCGTCTTTTTCCTTCCTTCCTTCCTTCTCCCTCCCTCCTTCTCCCTCCCTCTTCCCCCCTTCCTTCCATCCATCCTTTCCGTCCCTCCCAAAACAAACCCCGAATCGAAACACTCACTCACCCACCCCAGGCTCGCACGCGCTCTGGCACGTGTGCATCGTGCTCGCGATGCGCGCGCACCGGGATGGGATCCGCGAGATGCGCGCGGCGGCTGCGGCGGGTGGGTGTGCGGCTGCTGGCGGGGGCTTGGTGGGTTGATCAATTGCTTTGAGCTCCTAGGTTAGGCTAGAGGGACCCGTCCGTGTAGAAATCGCTAGACGTCGCGCTAGATTACATACAGCAGTATAGTACCGTAAAGCAAAACAGAGGGAGGCGGTGGGGAGGGTGGGGTTTTTTGGTTGAGGGGAGAGAGGGAGAAGGAGGTGTAATGGTATGTGGTTGGGTGTATGGTAGTGTACTTTGTGTTGGGCTAATGGAGGTTTTTGGTGTTGTTGCATTTACATAATTGTTGTGTTGATATTGAGGGATTTCGAAGGTGTAGAGGAAGCGTGCCATTACTTCGGTCGTCGTTTCCGTTCGATTGATGTTAGTTATACTTACGCGTCGAGGAGCTTTTGGCACCGAGTTTGTTTTGGCTTGCTACGATAAGAGAGTACACATAGTCGGTCAAAAAATAACAATGCTCAAGTCGGCATTGAAAAGTAATAAAACGTGCTCGGTCGTCGGCTGGAACTCGCAAGTAGCACTGGACTTGACAGATGAGGGAGGTGAGTGACAGTGAGTAAGTGTCCAGACACAGAATAGAATAGAATCGATACGAGGGCCGAGGCATAAATAATAAGACTAGGGCGCTGGACACGGGGGGAGGGGGAGGGCGGGCACGTTAACGTTGCTGGGGTGCGCCCGAGTCTTGACGGCTAGTATTAGCGGATCCTATGGGGCTTGGAGTCCCGCTACAGAGAGGGGATATTGGCATGTCAGTATGCTATGCGCCTCACAAAACGGAGATTCGACGAGAAGATTCTAGTGGGACCTGCCGTTCACTTGTCATGGTTCGAGAACGAGCGGCAAACACCGGTGACAAGAACTTTCAACCGTGAGAAAATACCCGGACAACTCCGAATCAAAGTTGTTCGCAACCGGCTGGTTCTAGAAGTTCAAGTTGCAAGCAACCCTCGATAGACCTAGCAAGAAAGATTTGTGTGGAAGTGAATTGTCTATGAGGCAAGCCTCCCGATTGACGAGTTTGCTTTCATAGCCACGAGTCGAGCCTAATTTATTTTCCATGTAGCTCTGAAACTCGACCCTTCGACCGACGGTTGCAGATTTTTCGCGTAAAAAAGGACCCAGACCAGGAATCTCGGGGAATAAAGCTTAAAGGGGAGGAGCGGATGTTTCACGGCAGTGGGTTGGGCGTTTTTTTTTTCGGTTTGCGCACCGCCCACTCGAGCGAACTGAAGCCAAACCTAAAAATTCTAACTAGACGTGAATTTTTGAATACGGACCGACGCCGGGAACCAAGTAGGATTTACAAGAAGGAGCAGATGACTTGCTTCTTTTCCAGGGAGGAACCGCGGAAGTTCGTCAACTCTGCTCTCACCTCCCATCCTCCCCTTTGTCCCCGCAGCCGTCCTCCCGGTCGCCCTTGCATCAACCCTCCCGTTCGTTCCCGCTATAATTTTCATTCTCGTTGCCGTCACCCTCATCTCCACTGGCAAGTTTACCTCCTCTCTCGCTGGCGCCGAGTTTCGTGCCGCTGACTCCTTCTCCCTGATCCTCCCGGCTTTTGCTCCTGCCGCCATGCTTCCCTCCATCGTTATCTCCCTCTTCATTCTCAACATCACACCCCTGACTTCGGGAAGCGGAGCGAAGCTGGGAGCCGCTATATTCTGCGGCTCTCTCGCTGTTCCTCCCGTCGTCTTCGCCATTGTCCCCACCTCTTCGGGCAGAGGAGCGGTTCGGAGGAGGCAGCCAAATCGATTTTTTGCCCATCTTACCGCGGAACTAGCGTTGCAAACCCCGCCAATATTCCTCCTTTGCCGATCCTGGAGGCGGAGCATGATCACCCGCGAGTCTAGTGCCCATTTCGTGCAAAAGTGCGGCCGGCCTCTCCCATGAGAGCGTTCTGTCCATCTGCCTGAAACTCGGCACTCGCTTGGCGATCACCGCCGCCTTCATGAGGGCGTTACCCAGCG